GTATATGGCTGGTCTCGGTACTTTAAAGAAAAAATACACACCAGTATTCCATTTCTCCATAAACATTTTAAGCATCGAAGTCTTTAACTAACGTGAAACAACGTGTATAAAAAGTGGTAGTTTATGCTTTTCTGCGAATACGCTCGATACCGGAGTAAACAAGCACACGTTTAGAATTTGATTAATAGGGAATATGATATGGAATCGTGTATCTAAAATCGTGTATCAAAGAAATGAGTAACGATAAAATTATATTCATGTACTGCAACACAAACAGAAGTATACTGTACACTGTACACACATTGTACAATGTCTATTGATACTGTTTGTGTAGGGCTGTTTCACCTCTTGTCATGTGACTGTGCGAGTGGCACAATGGTCTAAATGCCTGACTTCTAAGCGAGAGGTCGGCTGTTCAAATCCAGCTAGCGCTACGGATTTTCTTTTAACAAACATTTCTTTGAAAAAATAAAATAGCAATATTATGGACAATTGGCTTTTTATATTTCTAAATATCACAACATGTTCAAATTTAAGTCATTTTTTAATAACAACGAATAGTCACCATCTTTCCCTCTGACAATGGTTCCTGCTTCTGCTTCCTGCTTCTATCGTGTGGGGTTCCTTTTAGATCTCCCTTCAGATGCGTTACAATATAAACATATACTGTCAGACTTTCCATTGAGAAGTGCATGTCACATGACCGTCTCCGTGGCATGATCGCTTAAGTAACTGACTTATACACCAAAGATTGAGTGTTCAAACCCAGCTGTTGCCCTCAGTTTTCTTTTAACAAATAAAAATTTCTTCGAAAAACAAAAAAAGCTAATATTGGCATTATATTGACATTTTTTATATTTCTAAATATTACAACATGTTCGTACTGTATGTACACAGCAGTAGGGCTCAAATTCCCGATCACGCCCTATTAATAAAGGGTATTAAGTGCAATGAAATACAATATTGTTGTTGTTGTTGTTATTGTTGTTTTTATCCTGTAAACCGCTTTGAGAAGCCACCTTTAAAGGCGCTATATAAAGGTGCTGATTCTTATGGAATGTGTTCTCTTTCTTCTTTTTTTCAGCATGGAATAAACCTATTACTTGATTCTTATGGAAGCCCAGTTCCACCAGGGATTTAAAAAAAACATGGAATCGCATATCTAAAGAAATAACAGTATAACTATAGTCATGCACAAACAGTAGTATAAGATTTTTCATTGAGAGGTGCGTATCACATGACTGTCTCCGTGGCATGATCGCTTAAGTAACTGACTTGTATACCAAAGGTTGAGTGTTCAAACCCAGCTATCACCTTAAGTTTTCTTTTAACAAATAAAAATTTCTTCGAAAAACTGAAATAGCTAATATTGGCATTATATTGACATTTGTTATATTTCTAAATATCACAACATGTTCTTACTGCATGTACACAGCGGTAGGGCGCAAATTCACGATCACGCCCTATTAATAAAGGGTATTAAGGGTATTAAGATCCCTTTAGATCTCCCTTCAGATTTAAAAGGTTATAAATAATATCTTTGGTGTTGCATCTTCCAGCTTAGCTGATCTTTTGCTGCCTACACATGCTTACACAGCTCCCTGGGTAAACTTTCATACTTGACTGAGAAAGCTTTAGGGAACTTAACAGGTTTTAAGGCTTTCTGTGTTTCCCTTCCAAGGATATGGACAGAAGAATATTAGAGCGTGGTCAAAAAGCGTGGTTTTTATGGTCTGTAGCTCAAATCCTGCTTAATTAAAAATTAGACACAAGAAGAGTATTATTGGACAATGTTGTGACGCTAAAGAAATCAATAACGATATTAATTCAAAGATCTAAATATATTAAACGCTTACGCCTGACATTTGAGGTGCCCGCCTGCGCGGTGACCACTCGACAGCCGGCTGGCTGTGCTGAAAAATAAATAAAAACCGGTTTGACAACTCTTAAGCATACTGTTAACACAAGTTTATCAGTGAAAAGACAACGGGCATTCTCAGAGTAGAATAGTCATGCTTTCCTATCAAAGACAGTCCCCATTCCCCCCACGGAAAGACAGACAAATGTTTTCACTGCCTATTCAGTCGCTATTCAGAGGGAAATGTGGTGACATCACTGCGCAGGCGAGCAGCTCCAATGTCAGGCATAAGTGTTAAATATATTTAGCTGAAAAGCTGTACAACGCAAGAAATTTTTAGGAGATTTCGTGAAAAAGCTACAGACGTGCCAATTGTAATCGTTTTTATTTTTAAATACATTTTAGCAAAGTCATGTACCATAAAAGTATGGTAATTAAAAACCATTAATACTTTCATTGGAGTTTAAATAAAGTTTATGTTTTATCTTTTGGCTAGACTTGACTATTTAGCCATGAGATATACAATAGATTGTCATTAAACAACCTTATGTTTATTAATCTTCTTTGTTATGCACAGTGAGAATGATAATTAATGATAAATAATTAAATCACAGAGTGCTCCTAAATTGTGCTAGGAAGAAAACAGATAGGTGTTCTGAAAGGTAACATATTAGGTCACAGGTTTTTGTTTTCAATTTTTCGTTTTCAAAGGTCACAGGTGTTCAATGGACAGAATGATAGATTAACATACTGCAGAAGAAAACAGTATAGGCATCGTTGATATGAGGACTTTTGAAACCACATTTCCCAAATTTAATATGTGCTTTTCTATATTGGTACAGTAGGACTAATAGGTTCTAGTAAAAACTTACAGTATTCAGAATTGGTAATGGTTAGAAATCCCATTTTATGATAAGGGACTCTGGTCGTTATCCTAAACGGAAAGCAACTCAGTTTATACTACAGTATATTTCGCTTTGCTTGGTAAAAAGAATTTGTGATCGGATCAACGAAATGCTTCGAAGAAGGAGGCGCTCTTTTCCTGTTGTTTAACAGTCTGTCCAGAAACAAAACATTCCTTTTTGGAATGTAAAAAAAATTGTACAAAAGTAAAAAACAATTACTTTTTGACAATGAAAAACTGTGTGTGTGTATCTTTCTCTCTGCTGGCTCGCGGGCACAGTGGGGTGCTGTACCAGCTGTACAGAAAATTATAGTGCCCTTTTCCATTCAACGGGTGTCTGAGTCGCTGTGTCCTATCTTCTGACAGTCACTGTTGTGAATGTCTGTAGAGTGTATCTTATTTTTAGTATTATATTTTTATATTATTTTCCTCATTAATCAAATTCTGAAAGTATGCTTTTAAATGCACAGTGACATGGTCAGAAGGATCAAGGATCAAAACGTTTCTGAAATAACCACATGTAAGACATGTAAGAAATGTTTAGGGAGAAATAGAATACTGGTGTGTATTTTTTCTTTAAAATACAGTACCAAGACCAGCCATACATGCCTTTATATAGCGCCTTTATAGGTGGCTTCTCAAAGTGCTTTATGGGATAAAAACAACAGAGCTGTTAAACCGGTTTTTATCTATTTTTCAGCACAGCCACCCAGCTGTCGAGTGGTATTAAATGCAACTTTTTTGTATACTGACTTTGCTAAAATGTATTCAAAAATAAAAACAATTACAATTGGCACACCTGTAGCTTTTTCACGAAACCTCCTAGAGTTACGAAAACATTTGCTTTGTGTGTCACATTTGCGACTGTTTTCACAGCCTTCAAAATGCCGTTTTAAAGCCATTTTTTTTACCACGCTCGAATATTCTTCTGTCCATATCTTTGGAAGCGAAACACAGAGAGCCTTCAAAGCAAATGCACTTTGGAGACCACGACTTGTGAAAATGTTCACAGCCTCCACAGAAAACTATCAGCAAGCTAATTCTCTTTTTTTAAACCTCTGGTTTTTCACTGATGTGTAATCACGCACTAACTGGAACGCCGGGGGGGCGCCATGTGTTAAGAAAGTTAGGTGTTAGCATAAACTATTAATGAGTGGCTCTGGTGAAATTTCGCTGTGAACTGAAGAGTTAACGTGTAAAGTGTTTCCTCTTTTTAACGGGAAGAGACGTAGTGCTTTTTTTTTAATCCCTGGCAGAACTGGGCTTCCATAAGAATCAAGTAATAGGTTTATTCCATGCTGAAAAAAAAGAAGATGGAGAACACATTCCATAAGAATCAGTGCCTTTATATAGCGCCTTTAAAGGTGGCTTCTCAAAGCGCTTTACAGGATAAAAACAACAATAACAACAACTACAATATTGTATTTCATTGCACTTTGACAGATCGCCTTTAAATCAATTGTTGATTTAAAGTTTGACAGTAAATGTTTATATTGTAAATATTGTCGTATTTACAATTTGTTGATAATAAAAATGTTAAGTTCTCTAAAGCTTTCTCAGTCAAGTATGATAGTTTACCCAGGGAGCTGTGTAAGCATGCGTAGGCAGCAAAAGATCAGCTAAACTGGGAAGATCCGACACCGAAGATATTATTAATAACCTTTTAAATCTGAAGGGAGATCTAAAGGGAACCCCACATTATAGAAGCAGGAAGCAGAAGCAGGAACCATTGTCAGAGGGAAAGATGGTAACTATTCGTTGTTATTTAAAAATGACTTAAATTCGAACATGTTGTGATATTTAGAAATATAAAAAGCCAATTAATTGTCCATAATATTGCTATTTTATTTTTTCAAAGAAATGTTTGTTAAAAGAAAATCTGTAGCGCTAGCTGGATTTGAACAGCCAACCTCTCGCTTAGAAGTCAGGCATTTAGACCATTGTGCCACTTGCACAGTCACATGACAAGAGGTGAAACAGCCCTACACATACAGTATCAATAGACATTGTACAGTATGTGTACAGTGTACAGTATACTACTGTTTGTGTTGCAGTACATGAATATAATTATATGGTTACTAATTTCTTTAGATACATGATTCCATATTATATTCCCTATTAATCAAATTCTAAACGTATGCTTGTTTACACCGGTATCGAGCGTATTCGCAGAAAAGCTTAAAACTACCACTTTTTATACACGTTATTTCACGTTAGTTAAAGACTTCGATGCTTAAAATGGGAGAAATGGAATACTGGTGTGTATTTTTTCTTTAAAGTACAGAGACCAGCCATATACAGTTTACATACTGTAATACTGTATGCTTATGTTCCAAAATTAATATCGTTTATGGCCTTCACACGCGTTATGCTCCTATTCTTTTTATGCTCAGCTACTAAAATTTCCCTTCAGTGGTAAAATTCCATATAAATATTCAATACTAAAACCGGCACAGTAAAGACATTAAATATACATAAACATACTGTATACAGTACAGTTTGCATATGGTAATATGTTTATGTTTATGTTTACAGCTTGTCCAAGGTCATTCATTATTAATACTATTAGTAATATCTTCGGTAAAGACTTTAAATGGCGACAGCTCAAACATGAGAGGCTGAGCTTTATTAGCTCCACCTTGCGGAAATTCTGGATACTATTATTTTACTTGCGGTGCCATGCGATATTATGCGAGAATATACGGTATTAATACGGTATTATACGGTAACTTGAGTTACACCGCGTTAAGCGCACTGCATTATAATGCAGTATCGCCCGCTTGTTTTGAATGGCTGCATCTGTACTCCATTTAAAAAATGATGTTTCTTTAAAAAATGAATACAAAAGTATTAGTATACATTTTAGAGCTAGCTGGAAAATGAGTTAATGTTAATTGATTTAGTTTTTCATTTGTAGAAACAATTGTAGATTTAATTAAAAACTCTAGGATGGTAGAAGTTAACATGATAATGATTCTGAGAGTATGTACACAAGATTTTCTAAAGAAGACAACTGTTTGATTTTTACTGAAATTCTAAAAGGAACTCCAGTAGCAGCACAGCAGCAGTTCAAAATCCCCTTACACCACCAGTGCTGCTGAGCACCTCATCCACAGTCATCAGAGCTGTTGAAGTCAAAGAATCCTGTCTTAAGTGTTGTTTTAAAATTACTTAGCTGTGGTCATTAACCTAAACTGAATTTAAATTCTGATATAGTCTTACTGATACACAGGCAGTTTTCTCTGTCCATAGATCCTGGTCTGCAGTAGCCATGAAAATAAATAAAACAGTGATGAAAAATCTACCATTTACACACCTGCACCAAATAATTCAACACCTCATCATACTGATGATTGATCAATCATTGATTGATGTGATGGATCTTCCATTTGGCGCTATTAAACTGCTTGGTAAAACACAGATTCACAACAACATCTAAAACATTGTCAGCATAGCCATTACTCTTAAAACCTGTAATTTAAATGAGGAATAATTTTCTCCATCAGTGTGAAATGATAAAAGTAAGCTGAACACAATACAAAACTAAATGGTACAGACCACACATGCACTACATGTGAAAAACAAAATAAAAATGTATAAAAGTATCAAATGTCCCAAATAAAAGACATGTAAGAAGTACTCTGAACGTATAGTATTTCATGACGTGGGACCTTAATTACCTTACTCAGCCCAAGAATATGATCCACTACACCTGATAAACTGATCCGGGAAATATTCCTAAGATGAGTGAGTGAAGTACAAATATGCAGTTTGTAAAATCAAATTACTCTTCAGTCTTTGCCTTTCTGGAAGGTCTGAGAAAAAAAAACTATGTTTTGTTTCTGCAGGTATTCCCCAGGTTGTGCTTTTAACTAGAGTGGATGAAGCCTGTCCATTGGTAGGAAAAGATCTCAAGAAGGTGTACTGGAGCAGATACATCAAAGCACAGGTGAGTTTAAACTTTGCTGCAGTAGGTTTTAATATTATGTATGTAATGTATAACTTCTCAAGTCACACTTTAGTCAAGAGAAGGCAAATTCTGACCTAGATATAAAAAACTCCTACAAGTTTTGTACCTAATTGTACAATGCACAATTAATATTGTAATCAATTTAAATTAATTTGCTGAGTTGGTTCATAATCAGTCTGCATCTAAACTTCCACTCAAAGGAGGTGAGTCACAAGTTTGAGACAAATGGGTTGCAGCCTGTTGGCCCAGTAGTGTAGAAATGTAGTTCAGGTGGGTAGCTGCTACTGCATGTGTAGGCTGCAAAGGAACAAGTAATAGGTTTATTCCATGCTGAAAAAAAGAAGAAAGAGAACACAATGTTTCGGCATGGAATAAACCTATTGTTTCAGTGTAGAAATGTGTTGTTGAGGAACAGCAATGGCTTGCTGGAGCAGGTCTGGAAATGGAGCACCTTCTCACAACAGAAAAGAGAGCAGAATCTAGACAGCACAGACTGTATCACTAGTCACTCTGCATGTCAAGATCTGCAGACAGGCATTCACTGAGACACAGGAAATAGATAAAAGAAAAAATACAGAAATTTGGTTTGTCTTTCACATGTACAATACTGTTATTTTGATGTCTACAGTGTTTAAAGTACAATTCCTTGGACTTGTACATTATTATTATTTTGCCCTGTCTTTCTTCATATTTCAGACAGAAAAGGCCAGTCAAATATTGGGCATTTCTATTAACTGCATTCTTCCTGTGAAAAATTACCATAAGGAAACCAGCCTGAATGATGACATTGATGTCCTGGCCCTGTCAGCACTGCTGCAGATACTCAGATTTGCAAACTGCCGCTTACAAAACCTGAATCAAAAGAAATCTAAGAGATAGTTGTAAAGTATTCAACTATTGTATGTACTAAATCTTAAAATGTCTCTGAGACCCATCTGAACAGCTTAATTAACTCAATTTAATTTCTTGTTATTATATTCTTGTTCATTTTTATTGTCAAAATTAATATTCTTGTTATTATGGTACTGATCAGGAATTTGACAATCTACACTAAAATGTCTCATTTTATAAACACAAATAAAGAAAAAAAAACATCTGTTGCTAATTAGAATTAAGTGTTCTGAACGTTTTGCTTTCTTGCAAAATATAAAGTGTATGTAGATGATATGTAATGCAAATGAAACCATTAACACAGAAAATGAAATAGGGAAAATTAAACCGACATGATAAAAGTTTGTATTATTTTAACACTAATGCAGTCTAATAGAAACTACACAACTGCTATGATATCTTAGGCACCACTTCTGTTACCCCTTCTCATTTGTCTCTCATTAATCAATTTACCCATAAATGCCTGTGTATAGAATTTATTATTTTCTACTTTTGTGCTTATCTGTTCGGTTTCCCTGTTTCAAATGACTTGTTTATTCTTAAAAATGATTCAGATCCTGATCCAATGAAACCTGTTTAATATGACTTGTAAAATGAATTTACTCAGTAATAAATTAATTGAAAGCTCTTTCGGGGATGAGCACTTGTAAAAAGAAGTTCACACTTCTTGGGAGGAAGGCCCTGTGTGATCCTGGTGGGAGACATACAAGGCATCAGCTGTAACAGATGTCAGCTTTTGTCCACTAGCTTCTCCTTCATGAACTGTTTCATTTCATCCAGAATGCAAGAACTAGGATGGAGGCTGGAATTCTCCACTCTTTGTCTGCAATATCCAAGTTCCCATTACATCCAGGACCATGGCCACTCGCCCTGTCACGTCATCAGTGGTCCAACGATTTTCCCATGTACACAGTATTAGGAGGGTCAGGAAGCTCAAGATGACAAGTTTACAACACTACTAACAATCTTAAATCCAAGAGTAACAAACTGAACAAGAACATGATTTCAATATCAGTACTTCCTGCTCTTCATGGTATTTCACCTGGCCAGGCTGGCTATTGACTGAGTTTTTATTTGAAAAGAAGTTGTGATTTTTTTCCCCCTAGTGACAAGTAGGCATATTAAAAGCAGTATAATCCCATGACTCATGTCAGTGGTAAGCAAATTGTTGTGTGTACTGTGTTTCGGGGTGACAAAATCAAGCAACTCACTGCCCAAAGAAGATCCAAAAGAGACACTTGTGGTGCTTTAGGTCTGTTGTACTACTTCTTTAAATTCACTTAAACTGAAATAATAATATGGAATTATGTAACTAACAGGAACTTGTAGGTAGCCGAAAATAAAAATAACAAAACTATACTAATGTTTCCGAATATTACTTAACATATATTTAACATATAAAATGTATTAAATATAATAACATATAATAAGACTTGGAGACTGCTTCAGAGAACATGTTAGGGCAGTGAAGATTAAAGATTTCTCCAAGCCCATTGTTTCTCATTTCACCTATGATGGCCATGATCACACTAATCTCTTCGTCTGTGCTCTCAAAGATGGTTTTCCGAACTCATACATCAGAAAGACTACACTTAATGAGACGTTAGTCTTAACGACAGACTACTTTTCTCTCTATTCATTGCAGGTTTCATTTCACACCTCTTTTCACCTATCCTGACTTCATACCTCTTGATTGGCCTCTCTTTCTGTCCCCTGCTCCCGCCTGTCATGATCACAACCCCTCCGCTTAAGGGCGCACCAGCCCTTCCTTGTTAGTTTCATCTCCTGCACCTGTTCCCTGTTCCAGCCCCTTTTCAGTTCCCCCTTAAAAAGCCAGACGCTGACGCTAATCCGGGCTCTGCATTGGTTCCTGCATCATGCGAGTCTGGATGCGCCTGGCTCCGTTATGGTTTTAAGTTTCTGTTTCTGTTCCACCAAAGGGAATTACAAAAAAGATAATCACTAGAATACTTTCTCTTCCCCCCTATTTCTCTGTTATTTACAACAATGTAAAAACCTTTCATTCCCATTTCTTTCTTGTCTCTCACCTCTGTGACCATTCTTACTCAGTGCCATAAACCAACAGCTTTGGTGGTCATATTGGTTTCTGTGAGTGCACAAGGTTTTACATTTGCAACCTTCTGCAACATACAAGATTTCTAAAAAAAATTTCCCTTCTCATGTTTTTTAGTATGATATGGGAAGATTTATCTTTGGCCTGCAGTGACATCAGCAGTGTTTTTAGTGGTTATGAACAATGAAATCTGAACACAAAATACTAGAATTTAGGTCTTACTAGTACATTGTAAATCAATCAATTAAGGTTTATTTATCAAGGTATTTATCAATCAAGGTTTGTTCATTGTCAGCTATGAAAAGTTTTATCCGTGAGCTAATTAATAAGAGGGATAGAAGAGTAGAAGGACAGAAGTTTATAGGGATTAGGTTAAGATTAGGATACAATAAATTACACAATTACAATTTCCAATACAATTTACAGATTGTGCGAAAGTAACACAGGGAGGTAGTTGTTCATATGTGTCCTGAGAGTGCAAGTGACAGGAGGGCACCAGTGCACCTGTCAGTTCAAGGAGGTTTCTTACTCGCCAGCAGCCATTTGGGTAATTGCAGGCATCTGCTGTGGTTGGCTGTTTAGCAGTGTTACTGCCTGGGGGAAGAAGCTGTTACGAAACCTGGTGGTCTTGGTCTGTATACTGCGGTATCATTTTCTGGATGGTAGTAGAGAGACGAAGTTGTGATTTGGGTGACTGGGGTCCCTGGGGATAGATCTGGCCTTCTTGAGTCATCAGAGTAGATATCCTTGAGCACGCAGCCAATAGTGTTTTGAGACGCTTTCACCACCCTCTGGAGTACTTTGTGGTCTGGGGTGGAGCAGCTACCATCCCAGGCAGTGATGCAGCCAGTTAGGATGCTTTCAGTGGTGCATCTGTAGAAATTGGTTAGGATGTGTGATGGCATGCCAAACGTCTTTAGTCTGCAGAGAAAGAATAGATGCTGCCGTGCTGTCTTGGCTACAAGGCTGGTGTGGTGGGTCCAGGTTAGATCGTCTGGATGTTGACAGGAATTTGAAACTGTTGACTCTCTCCACTACAGACCTGCTGATGTGAATGGAAGTCCTTGATGGTCTGTTCCTTGATGGTTCCTGTAGTCCATGATCAACTCCTTAGTTTTGCTGGTGTTCAGAGAGAGGTTGTTGTCCTGACACAATGCTGTCAGCGTTTCTACCTCCTCCCTGTACATGGACTCATCACCGTTCGTGATCGAGCCAATGATCGATGTGTCATCCGCAAACTTAATGATGGACTTTGTTTTTTCCTGGCGATGCAGCTGTGGGTGAATAAGGAGTAGAGGAGAGGGTTGAGCACACAGTCTTGGGAGCACTGATGTTCAGAGTCAGAGTGGAGGATGTACTTGTGCCTACTCTCACCACCTGTGGTCGGCCCATCAGAAAGTCCAGAATCCAATTGCAGAGAGGGGAGCTTAGTCCTAGATCCTGAAGCTTGGTGATAAGCCTTGAGGGTACAATGGTGTTGAATGCTGAGCTGTAATCAACAAACAGCATTCTCACATACGTTCCTTTCTGACCTAGGTGTGAAAGGCTAGTGTGTAGAGCAGTGGTGATGGCATCCTCAGTTGATCTGTTCTGACTATATGCAAACTGCAGTGGGTCCAAGGTGTCGGGCAGTAAAGAGCTGGTTTGTGCTTTGATCAGTGAGGGAGAGATTAAATATGTCCACAAAGATGTCTTCTAGTTGATCTGGGAAGGCCTTCAGGACGCGATCAGGGATAGCGTCTGGGCCAGGAGCTTTGTGTGGATTAGTCTTTTTAAAGACTTTGTACACGTCAGCTCTGGTGTTCCCCCTGGTTTAGTTGGATTTTCTTAGCCGGTTCCATATTATGGACTTCGAACCAAATGTAAAATTAATTTAGTTCATCCGGGGGAAGGGTGTGTGTGTCGTGTTGCTGTGTTTCACTTTGTAATCTGTGATGGTATGGATTCTGTTCACATATTCCTAGTGTCCTGGTCTTCATGATTCCAGTTTTACTCTGTAGTTATATTTGGCTTTTTTAATGGCTTTTCTGAGATCGGATCTTGATTTTCTGGACTTGTCCTTGTCTCCATAGTTGAAGGTGGATGTTCTAGCTCCGAGTTTAGCATGTACTCCACTTCGGTTTTTGATTTGGGTATGTGCGAACAGTAATCCTTGGTAAAACAATCCTGTTATCCTGTAATCCTGTCATCCTGGGTAACAGTAAAGCATCCCTCAACAGTTGATGCAATTGTCAGTAGCTGATACTATTTAAATTTTATGTGAATATACTATATCAGAATCACAGAACCAGTCCAGGTGCCATTAACTCCATGCTTCTTAGGAATCAGGTGCTCGTGGACTATGGTTAGACTACATCCCAAGTCCAGGAGAACCTTGACATTCTTTAACCTTTACCTGGACCATGAAGGCCTGGACTAGAACTTTTTATGCTCAGCTGCTAAAATTTCCCTTCAGTTGTAAAATTCCATATAAATATTCAATATTAAGCAGATTGAAATGTGCACAGTAAAGAGACTAACAACCAGTGCACCACGAGTGACCCTGTCAGTCATTTTGGCCAGCCAAATCACGTACCGTGGTACACCGCAGTGAACAGTGGGTAATTTCACACGGTACGGGGTTGTACCATGCATTTTGAATGGCTGCTTCTGTAGATTTGGCAGATAGTGAGAGGCTTGAATAATCAGGTGCATTTCTGGCAGGGAGAATATGAAGGTTTAAAGTTTAATGGGATAGATTCAGAAAATTAGCACACATAAAAAACAGCAATTCTGTCAGAGAGCCTTATATGAATTAATAGCAAGCATGGTTTCATGAAAGGCTTCTCTGATAGTTGGGCATTCAGGTAGATTGCCAGGCTAAATGATTTGTAAACATATTTTGTTAAAACAAGTCAGTTTTTTGCAACACATAAAATACATTTTTCCAAGAAAGTTCACCCTTTGCCACTAATGAAACCACTAAATAAAGACATAAACATAGAAAACTAAAGATTTTTTATTTATTTAATGTTGGTAGCAGGATGAACTGTCAGGTTGAGTTAGTGTATATTTTGTCACAGAGTTACTGAAAGATGTTAACAGTGAAAACAGGCATTTAGAATTGACTCATTTCAAGAAGAAGATTTTCAGAATACTTGTTAATCTAGCAGGACAGAGAAAGTACAGAAAATAGGTAGGTAGATTAGTATGCAAAAGCCATTTAGCAGAGGGTGTGAGAAGAGTGACAAACTAGTATACTTTAGATATTTTGTTTCCTAAACCAGTGAAAATCTGATCATGGTTGTCTATAACAATAATAAAAAACTTTATTTGATACAGCACCTTTAAAAGCAGCATCTCAAAGCAATACAGGAGGTGTAAAAACAGTTATAAGGACCACAGATTACAAAGTTAATACATATAAGAAAGACAAGCAATTAGAAGTGCTACAGAATAAGAATTTAGTTTATGAGTAATTCTCACTTTAAATATAAAAAATTAAGAAATATTCATATATTAAAGCTTTCATGCACTGACCTACTGTAGAACTTAAAATAAATTGATTTTTTTTCTCAAAAGAAAAGACAGCACTTAGAATGACTACGAGGTGGGGTACCTCAGCTTTATTTGATTTTTTTAGAACAGTGAAAATTTTCTTTTAACAAGTAAATACTGAATAACACAAACAACGTTCCATTATTATATATACCCAAAACAGTGTACATGTATCTATCAAGAGACAATTAAAAAAGCCAAAAGAAAATACCTTTGCTCAGCTGCAGTCTTTTTATACCCTTCATTAACAAAATATTTTTTCCCACAAAACAAATGTTTGCTTACATGATACTTTAAATATCAAAGGTGAGATGCAGTACCATCTATTTTCCTAATTCCCTTCTCTCCACAGAACTCTGATGTAATAGTTCTCTCTAATAGACAGAGCTACAGTAGGCTACCCATTCCCATGACTGGAACCTTGAAGCCCAGATAGATAGATACTTTATTGATCCCGTGAGGGAAATTGCAGTGCAACAGCAGCTTCACACAGACAACACAGCAACAGTGTAACAAATGATACAATAATAATAATACAATACATACAATACAATCAGTACAGTGAGAGGTG